TTAATTAACCCAGGCTCCTGATGTGTCCTACAGCCCCCAACCCTGCAATCCAGTGGTTCTCCTTCCCAGCACCTCTGGGGCAGCTCATCCTCATTTAACTGCCCTGGATTTTGGGCAGAGAGGGAGTGGTTCCAGCAGGGCTGTCTGAGGTCCCCTGTCCTCGTTTGGAGATCTTTCCCTGCTGATCCTCTGCAGTGGATCATCAATATTTCAGGCTGATTTTCCATGCAGTACGTGCCTGCAGCACTCAGCTGATTCCAGCATGAAAAATTCACGGCAGATCCAGAGCTCTGGTGATGGGGGGGGTGAATCAGGGACCCACTGGGGCTTCTCTTCTCCCCAGGAACGAGCCACAGGACAAAGAGCAAACGGCCTCAAGCTGTGCCAGGGGAGGTTTAAGTTGGATATTAGGGGGAAAATTCATTGTGGAAAGGGTTGTCCTGCCCAGGGAAGCGATGGAGCCCCATTCCTGGGGGGATTTAAAAGATGTGGCACCTGGGGACATGGGTCAGTGTGGCCTTGGCAGGGGAATGGTTGGACTTGATGGCCTTAGAGGGCTTTTCCAACCCAAATGTTACAATAATTCTCTCTTTCCTCCCCCCCCCCCCCCTTTTTTTAAGGACTTGGAGCTGTTCTTTGTTTTCCTTTGCAAGGCCTCAGTTTAGGGATGGTCCAGCAAAGATCAATCCCAGCAAAGCTTCACTTCCTGGGTGTTGAGAGGTGGCAGCATCAGGGGTTGTTTGTGTACGTGTTTTAGTGTTGTTACTGCAAGTCATTCTTGCCATTAAAGCCTAAAATCCCACAAAACCAGGCCCCTTCTCTAGGATCAGAGAATTATTAAGGTTGGAAAAGACCTCTAAGGTCATCAAGCCCAACCTTTGAGCAAATCCCACCATGTCAGCTGAACCATATCCCGACCCACAGAGCTTTGTGGGGGCACAAAAAAGGGAGTGGGGACCCAGAGAGGTGCCCCCAGCACGGGGGGGTTGCATAACTCACCCCAAAAAAGGGGCTGCAGCCAGTGGGGGCTTTGAATTTTGGGGGGTGAAAGACAGGGAGAGGAAGGAGGAAGCAGTGTCCTCGTTGTGAACATGAAAAGCTGGATCCCAGGGAGCTGGAGGCTGGAATTGGGTTTCCAGGTGAGCGAGCTGAGCCTGCTGGGTGGGTGGAAAGTGCTAAAACTCCTCTGGAAAGCCAGACCTTGGTTGCTGCTGCCAAGGAATCTGGTGTGGGAGTCAGTCCTGGAGAGTGGAAAAGGGGCTGTTTCCTTGGAATGTGGCTCGGATGTGGGAATTTCCTTGCTGTCCTCAGGAGTGTGCTGGGAGTGAAGGTGTCCCTGCAGGGAGTGAATCATGTTCTGCTCCAGCACCTTAACAGGCAGGCTCTGCTATAATCTGTTTTTCCCTCTCTATCCAAGTCATCCCGTGGGTTTTTCTTCCATGGAGCCTTTCGTGAAGCCTTGTCACGTTGTGGGGCTGGGCAGGAGGCGTTTTTGGGTGGCCTGATTTGGGGAGATGTTGGGTGTAGGAACATCTCTGCAGCACTTTGCCGTGACGTGAGCGCCGGTGGGACCCGGGGACGCGGCCAGGAGATGGAACATGGAAAATGCATTTCTCCAGTGCACTCCAGGACACGCCAAAATAGATCCAGGGCATGGCAGGGAGAGGCTCATCTCTCCCTCCGTGTACTAACAGGTGTAAGAAAGATGTTTTCTGTCTCTGCAGCCCGGGGTGAACACACCTGAGCTCTGTCCTCACCTGTTCTCACTCTTGCTGGAAATGTTCTCCACGTTTTCACCACAGTTTTTGCCTGTTTAAGGAGGATTTTTGCCTCCATTTCTCCTGAACTGGGGTTGTTTTTATCATTCATCCTCTCTCCTGGTGCTGTGCACTCCTATTTAGTCAGGATGTGACCAAGGTTCCCCCCCTTGTCCTGGTGCTCACCCCAATCCCATGGAAAGCACTTTCCCTTTTCTAACAGCTCTTGCAGACACATCTATCAATATTTCAGCCTCTGCTGTTTTTCCCTGAGACCTTCTAAAGGCCAGGGCCACGTCTTTGGTGGAATTATTTATGGCTCTAATGTCAGTAACAGCCTGTTAATCTCTCTGCCACTTTTCTGGGTGGTTTTAAAGTGATGAGGGACCAGGAGAAATGCTGGCACCACTCTCCTCCTTTCCCAGGGCCTCCAGTTTCCTCGGCACCAGAGGAGGATTAGAAGGATCCAGCAATACCACATTAATTAATTAATCAATAATCTGATGATTAATGGCATTTCTCAGCCAGAGGTGGCTGATGGCTGAGGGTCACACTTCAGTACAGGGTGGGATTATTCCCCTCCTCAGTGCCAGGGCTTGGACTGGATGATCCCCTTCAAACTAAGGATATTCCATATCCTATAATTCCTGAATTATCAGCAAAGGCTGCCATAGTAAGAACCACTTGCTTTTGTAGCCCTGGAGACCACCAAGCTCAGTTTGGTGGTGGACAACCAGCAAGGTCTGAGTTCTCAGGGACTGTCAGCTGGGAAATCTTCAATATTTCCAGGAATTCCCACTGATTTACACATCAGTGGGTCCAGCCTGAAGCCTTTTATTCACTCTTTTGTCAAGAAGATGACGATTTATGTGCTGCTACAAGGCAGGGGGAAGCAAAAGCAGGAAAAAAAAAAGGCTTAATTCCAAATCCCAGGGGATTTTTGTGATTCATGTCGGTGAGGGCTGGGAGGACAACACTTGGTTTTCTGGGCAGCAAAACCTGGATCGATTAAAAAGCTGCCTCTTGCCGTGAAGAGCCCCAAATCATGTCCTGTCTGTGGTGTCACGTTTGGAGGGTTGGGTTCAGCCTATTTATGAGCTGTCTGGTGCCTCCGTGTCTGAAACCCTGCCCGGGCTCCAGCTCCCCGCTCCTGCCGCTGTCCTTGGTGTCCCCTGGATGTGCAGCCCAAGGTCGGAGGGTGCTGGAAATTCAGGATCGATTTGTTGGAGGTGATCCCACAGCCATCAGGAGACTCTCGTGGTCCGTGTCCCATTGCCCTCTAACGGCCAGCGAGGAATGTGCAGGGCAAAAAGGGACAATTCCCAGCGCCGGAGAGAGGAACCGTCGGGAATTCGGGCTCTTGGGATGGCCCCAGGGCGCGTCTGGTTTTCGGGAAGCCCCCAAAAATGTTCCCGGTGAAGGTTGGTTTGGGGGTGCAAAGAGCACCAAACTCAGGGAGGGGAAAGAGGGAGGAAAGAGGGTGGGAAGTTGGAACACAGTTGTGGATTGTCCATCCCTGGGAGTGTCCAAGGCCAGGTTGGAGCAGCCTGGGACAGATGAAGATGTCCCTGCCCATGGCACTGAGTGGGCTTTCCCAACCCAACCCATTCCAGAATTCTTTGATTCTACGAATTCAGAGGTTGAAAAGCAACGGGGAAAAAAGACATTTTTGTTTTCCCGTGGAATTGGGGCGGGTGGAGGAGCGGAGTGTTCACTCACAGCAAAAAAAACCAGCCCCAAAACCAGAATAAACTGCTTTTCTCTAGGGCTGGGAGCGAGGGAAGGGTCTTGTGGGTCCTACACAGGAGGTTACCGATATATTATGGATTTTTAAACCCTTTCCCTCTTGCAGTGGAGGGATTTTAACAGCAGATGTCACGTTTGTACAACAGAACAAGAGACTGGACAAACCCAGGGAATAACAACGTGTTCTCCAAGGCAGGAGGGGCTGGCACCTGTCCTGGGCTCTTGGGGCCAAGGAAAGCTTTATATATTCCAGATATAATTTATTATTACCCAGGGGTAACAACAAATTATATACAATAATAAATATAATAAATATATATTATATAATAAATTATATATAATAATAAATTATCAGGGAATAATAAATGATATATAAAATAGATACATTTTTCCCAAGTTTCTACTTCGAGTCACTGCTGAAAGTGGATGTTTGGTCTTTGGGAGGGACTGGGAGGGTTCAGGTATTTGGAGTTCTGCAGGAGAAAAGGCAGCCCAAGCTCCCTGGTTTGGGAGATGAATCTTAGGAAGATAATGAAAAAATAGCAATTCTCTAGACTTGTTGCAAATCTCTCCGTCCTTGGAAAATTCCAGAGTGCTCACAAAGTTTGGAAAGGGGGAAGAAGTAAATTTTAAGGGGGCAGAAAAGTTGGGATGGAATATCTTATCGTTTAAATTCTCTTTATAATTTTAAATATAAGCTCATTCTAATTTAAATTATAATTTAAGTAACTTATAATTTAATTACATTTATATAATTTAATTAAATTATAATTTAAATTCACTGGCTAACTTGGCAGTTTTGACTACACCTGTGAATACTCTTTTTGGTTAAAACTGGGAATTTTAGGGGTTTGGCATTGTTATAAATGGTCCCACTTTACACGATTTTTCATGTGGAAATGATGGTTTTTAAAAAATACAGCGACTGCCTCCCATTTAGAGAGAACACTTTAATACAGAAATCTTTGTATATACATTAATTACAGCTCATAAAAAATAAGTTCTGAGTCTTTACACCACAGTCAAACACAGATATGGGTTCAAATCCGTTCCTGACTCAAATAAAGCAGCAATAATCCAAAGCAGAAGAAAGCTCTGCTCTTCCAGTAACATTTATCCTAATCCAAAATCCCACCTCCCTCCTCAAACAGACTGGAATTCCATTGGGAACCTCAGACAAAGCCCAGCCCAGGAGGAGAAATTGGAGTTTTATCTGGAATTCTGGATCAGAGATGGTGGGTCTGAAGGGTGAGAGCTCAGGGAGGGTCACTGGAAACAGCAGAAATTTGGGAATTTGGCTTCTCCAGCGAAGCCACTGTGCCCAAGGGCTGGAAACAACCTTCCTGAGTCACAGTGTGATCAGCTGGATCCGTGTTCTGATTCTGATCCTGCTCCAAACCTAAACCCACTTTTCACTGGAAACTCCATAAAATCTTGAGTACTTTGAATCCAGGGCAAGTTCCTTTCTCCCTCTTTTATTTTTCCTTATTTTTCTCTCTCCTTTTTTTTTTTTCTTCTTCTCCCCTGGTAGAATATTTGCTCTTGAAAAAACAACTTCTGGGAGCTTGAACTTCCAACCCTGGATGCCGAGCACAGGGATGCTCCCAGTGCCAGTGGCAACAGCAGCTCCCAGCACCATTAACACCAGTGCCAACAGAGCCATCCCAGCTGGGCAACGTGCCCAGAGTGATGCCAACAGGGCAGGAGGGATGAGGGACCCTCGGGAATGAAGCAGAGTGGGAAAACTCATCCCACAAAAACAACCCCTGGTTCCCAGGAGTGACCCCACAACAACCCCCCGGGGGGAGCTCAGGGAGACAGGAGCACCAAAGGGAGGGTGGGGGTGTCCTGGAAGGGAGGAATCCTTGGATCTTTGTGGAGCTGAGGGGGCAGGGAAAGGACTGAGGGAGGGTTTTGGTGGGGCTGCTTTGCTGGGTTTCCCTGTCCCAGGGCAGTGGAGCAGCTGGAGCTCTGTGGAGTGGCACAGCCAGAGCTCTGGAGCTCTTGGAGCAGCACTTGGAGCTCCTGAGTCTCTCCAGCTCTCCCTCCTCACAACAGGGATCTTGTTTAACAGGGAATCTAAGGGTTATTGAGAGAATCCCATCCCAAAGGATCATTCCAGACCCCGTTTCCAGTGTGTCATCTCAGTCAGGCCACATCTAGTTCAGACCTCAAGGACACCAACTCCTCCCCAAAGGGCAGGAAGGGTTTATCTTTCTCCAGAACTCACACCTCTGCAATGCAGGGACCATCCCAGACACCTGGAGAAGCAGATTTGTTCTTCCTTTGCATTGATGTACTCCCCAAATCCCTGTTGCTTTGAACTCCACGTGCTTTTGCTGCTGACAGGGACATGTGATGGCTGAGAGGATTCCTTGAGTATCCAAGAGTATCTTGTGCAGTTTAGGATGATGTGTGAAGAAGGTCTGGTGTGTTGTGGAGGAGGGAGGGGGCTGGCAGAGATCCCAAAATGGAGCCAAACCAAGTAACAGTTCACATTCCCTCACTCCCTGGGGTCTGTGCCCAGAGGAGCAGTTTGGGTGCAGCCACTCCTTGGGTGCTGGCCCAGGAGCTGGGATGTGTTCAGCAGCTTTGGGAATTTACTCCCAGTCTACACCTCAGTGCAAAGAGTGACTCTGCTTCGTTTCCTCTTGGGCAGAAGCTCTGTGTCATCACCAAAATGTTCCTCACTGCTCAGAGTCCAACCCTTTTCTTCCCAAGCAGCCGCCAGTCCGTTGTTCTTGTCGGAAGGAGAAGAGGAAGATGATCCTGGATGCCTTTGCCAAAAGTGCAGGAATGGAGGGGCAAGTAAATTGTCCCTGAAAATGTCTCCATCAGTCCTGTGTCAGAAACTTCAGACTCGGGGATTCACTGGGGGTTTTAAAGCCTGGGTGGAAAAGAAGGAGTTAAAACACACGTCAGAGGGTGCCCGGGGCTGTTTCAAGGAATTACATCCCAAAGGAATTGCTGTTCCCACTGGAACTGGGGTTACCTGTGGTGGAGGTTTGCCTTTGGGGACTGGGAGATGAGGAGGTTTCCTCTCTGGTGCCTGGAACAAAATGCAGTTTAAATGTCACTGGGTTTTCCTGCCTGAGCAGCTGCAGAACCTCCCCAGACCTCAGGTGTCCTCATGGATTTACCACAACATTTCCCAGTGGAAATGCTGCAGGGGAAGTGGATTAATCTCTCCACGTGCCAAATTACCACCAGGCAAGGGGGGCAGATCCCTTTAAGAAGCCACTGAGCTGTGCTCAGTATTTAAATTCACCTGGACTGGGTGTCTGTGCTCAAACACAACGAGGAGGAAGCTCAAGGTGTGTGTTGAGGAAGCCTCTCTAAACACACTGGCATCCAAGTGTGGTTTTACAGCCAAGCTGATATGGGGGACTGTTTTAATTCCTATTTTGTTTAGTCCTGACTCAGCATTCTCTGTGCAGGCACTGCCACAGTGATGGCACCAGCTGAAGATGGGTTTTACACCCTGGAGCAGGGGGCTCAAAGGCTGAGCTGGGGAATATTTGAGGGAGGTGTTTTCTTTTAATTAGGGTGCTTTGGGTTTATTGAGGACAAATATTCACATGCTTCCAGTTTCCTGGTTTTTTTAACAATTCAAAACACACATTAAGGGCAGAGCCCAGCACATCTCTGCAACACAGGGACCATCCCAGACACCTGGAGGAGCAAATTTGTTCTTCCTTTGCGTTGATTTACACCCCAAATCCCTGTTGCTTTGAACTCCATGTGCTTTTGCTGCTGATAGGGACATGTGATGGCTGAGAGGATTCCTTGAGTATCCAAGAGTATCTTGTGCAGTTTGGGATGATGTGGTAAAAAAGGTGACTCTTTACTTAAAGAATCTGTGGTTTGACTGACTGTGAGTTTTAATTTTTATATTAAATCACGGTCAGAAACTGAAAAATACTGTTTGGCATCTGATAATCCTTTGCTACTCAGAGGAGATGTGGGAGAAGTGCAGGGCTGTACTTACAAATTTCTCCTCTGGGTGAGATGAGGCTGCTTTGGTGGAAGGAACAGGAGGTGGGGGACCTTTAGGCCTTAATGCAGGCTGGAAAAAACAGAACAGAAAACATATTGGCTCTCTACACACACTGTGCATGCCCGTGATCCCATGGGAATGTGGTTGATGTAGGAAGTGCTGCCTGGCCCTGAGAAATCCCTGGTCTGGAGCTCAGGGATTGCCCAGCCTTTGGGAGCTGGTTTGGGATGGGATGTCTTCCCCAAAGGCAGCAGGGAAGCAGGGACATTCCCTGGCAGTACTTACACTCTGGAGCTGGGGTTTGTTCTCCTGAGGTGGGGGCACAGGGAGCAGGAGTTTCTTCCCATCCACCTGCAAACAGGGAACAGTCCCATGGGATGGAGCCCTTGTCTCGTGTTGTCTCCCTGTGTCCCTTTACTGTCACTCAGGAACTCAGCCCCACGTGCTTTCCCCACTCCCAGCCCACGCTGGCATTCCCAGCACTGCCCTCTCAGCCCTGGAGAAGCATTTGGGACCCTGGAGGAAGAGGAGCCCACTTTGGCTGCTGGGTTTTGGTGGCTGGGACAGCCCCAGACAGACCCAGTTGTCCCAGCACCCCCCTGCCCTCACCTTCTGGGCAGGCACTGCCAGGCCTGGGGGTTCTCTGCACCTCTCCTCTTGATCCACAAACACTTGGTTGGTGGCTCCAGGTCCACTCCTGTTCTGGTGACTGTAAAATATTTCATATTGTGGTAAATCTTACCTTGACTGAAGCAAATAAACTCCTAGCTGAATACCTGCCTTAATCCCAGTGGTGTGTTATAGCCATGGCCCTGCTTTTTTATCTTATTTATTAAGGATTAATCTTGATTAATCTTGCATTTCAAATCTTCACTTCTCTCCCAAATATGAGAATTCTGAAGCAGCTCAGCAAAGCTCCAGGAGTTCCTTGGCTTTTTGGTTTCTGATTCCCTCCACCCCCTTTGAAAACTGGAAGTTAAACCCATCCAGGTATTCCATGGCTTTGGTTTAGGGGTTTTTTTCCAGTCAGTGGGGAAGGATTTACCTCTCCTTGGCCATTCTGAAGCGGATGAGCAGCACTGCAGCAGTGGCTGTGACAGCCAGGACAGCCAGCACCCCAACCACGATGGCAATGCCTGCCAGGGGGAGACAACAGACACTCCTTAAACACCCCAGAATCCTCCAGCTTGGACAGAGATCCAAGAGATCCACTGTTCTTGAGAAGTCTCCCATCACCACCACTGGCAAAGGAATTTTTTTCCCCAAGATCTGGACCCTGTTTGTCCTCACTTTGTGGCTTCTTCTCCTGGCACAGATGGAGATGGTTTTGCCAGATTTGAAGCCTGTGCAGGGCTAAGCAAACCCTGAACAATCCCTGTCCTTTCCATCCAGCCTCAAAGATCCTTTGGCTGTCACTCCTCTCCTCTACCTCCAAAAGGTGTTACCCAAAATTGCATTCAAGTGAGGTTTCCTTCACAACTGTCCTTCAACCAAACCCTGATGTTCAGAGCTGATGGTGCTCTGGAGAGTGTGGGGAGACAAACACATTTATATTATAAATAAAATAAGGGTTGGTTGCTTTTTTTCCCAGACAGATGGAAATCTACCCACAAAGTGTTTTCCTTCAGAGGTAAATCAGTTAAAGACCAGCTGCCTGCAGATGATAAAGGAACTTGTCCACCTCCCTCAGAGCAAAGCCTGTGGGATCTTGGCTCCAGTCTGAGGTGACAGTGAGCTCCTTATCCCAGCATGGAGAGGGGAGAAGCTGCTCCCATCTCCTGGGTAAATCACTTGTCAGCTCAGAAAGAAAAGTCCTTGCTCTGGTTGTTCCTACAAGCAGCATGGGCTTCAAGATACTCAGAAATCACCTACCCTGATATGCAATATATGCAAAGAAATGAGAGTTTAGGTTGGATATGAGGGGAAATTTCTCCAGTGAAAGGGGTGTTTAAGGCTGCCCAGGGGAATAGAGGAGTCCCCACCCTTGGAAGTGTTCAAAAAACATGTGGGTGTTCACCATTAGTGGTGACCATGGGGGTGCTGCTGGTGGCTGGTTGGACTCCACGACCTTAGAGGGCTTTTCCAGCCTCCACAATTCCATGAACCAGCCTGGCCCCCTGTGCTGGGCTGTTTCCCTGGAGTTCACAGGCTCATTCCAGCTGGGAGAGGGCAGATCCCAAGGTGTGGCCATGCAGCACTTACTGGTGAAGGCTGAGGAGCTGTCACAGGTGGGTGGTCCCCATCCTTCCTCACACTGGCACTGCAGCTCGTGGTCACACACCTGGGGAGGCACAAAGACCTTCAGCTTGGGAATGGGAGAGAATTGGGATGTCCCTGGGTGGCTCTGGTGAGTTTATTGAAGCTCTCAGTTTAAAATTTGGCCCAGAGAGGAGCAGTTTTGGGGGTTACAGGCTCTCCTGCAAGTGAGAGCTGCAGTACAAGGCAGGGTTAACCCACTCATCTCTAGGTCTCTGAATGGTCACACATTGTCTTCCCAACCCCAAAATGACCTAAAGGGAAGAGCTGTGGTGCTGTGGCTCAGGGGCAGGGCCAGACACAGAGTCTGTGTCCACCTCCTGTGGTCTCCTTGGTAAAAATACTGATCCTGTCTCAGTTTAGATTTGCTTTCATAAAAATATAAGAAGCTTCTGCCTCCCCACTTTTTACCAGCTCGCATCCCAGTGACTTAAAAACCCTCAGCAATAAGGTCTGCAGCTGATATGCATCATTTTAAAGTGAATGGCATCAAATCTCAGATCTTACAGCGTGTCCAGAACACTTGGCAGAGCAGTTGGTTGATCTAAAGACCTCCTCAGCATAGATACACTCTCCGTTGCTGCACACCTGAAATGAAAGGTTCCCAGAGGGATTCAGAGCTTCCAGAAGGTTCAGAGCTGGAACATCATCATGTGAAGGGATGAAGAGCACGAGGAGATGTGGGAACAGCTCTGTAAATCACCTAAACACACCTTAGGGCGTTGATATTTGGGGATAATTTTTCATCTGAGCTTTGGGTGTTTTACAGCAAAGGGGAGTGATAAAGATGTACAGACATCCCTCCCCTTCCAAGAACAAAATTGGGAATAGCACTTAGAGATTCCTGGCACATCCATGGTGGGAATCACTAAATGTAGTAATACATTTATGATCTTCTACATAAAACCTTCTTACAAGGGTGTTTCTGTTGCCACATATGTTTGTGGCAGGAAAAAAATAAAGGGACAGCAGCCAAGGCAAAGGAATTTGGAATCATGGAAGTTCCTGTTTGCTTTGCTACTGGTTTGGGGATGTAGGGAAAACCAGCAGAAGTCTGGTGTCAGCTCAGCCTTCCCTGTTTAAAATTATCCTTGAGAATGAGCTAAGACTCAAAGAGGAGGAAAAAACATGGAGAAAAGTTATTCCCTACTAACCATCCCATTTCCACACTTGGTTCCATCAAGAATCATGCCCAGGTCCTCATCATCTCCATTTTTAGGAAAACTTGCTTTGCAGGAATTAACAGTCACCAGGCTCCCCTCCCGGGGCATCTCCCTCCCTCCGGAGCAGAACAGCTTCCCACACAGTTTGTCTCTGCAAGGAGAACAAAGAGCTGTTAAAACAAGGCCATGGCACAGCAAACCCCCCTCACCCCCCTGAGCTGGTCCCTCCTCCAACTTGGATTCCAAGGAAACAGCTGCAGGAGGGAACTTGGGTTTGTGGTGTTTGGTGGTTTGAGCAGGTGACGGGTTTTTAATTCCTCCTGAGCTTATCGGGGGGTGATGTGCAGAACTGAGTGTTTAGATGATATTCCTTAATATTCTGAGGTTCAGATCAGAAAATCCCTTCCCTTCCCAATCCCAAAATCCCTTCCCTGTGGTTTTGTGCACACACACTCATCCTCTCCAGCAGGTCTGCCCACATTTCCTCCTTCACCTCGTGATCTCAAACTAATTCTCTCAGAAGTGACTTTCCCACAACACCCAGACAACAGGGAGGGACACGGGGACATCTAAAACAGGGTGGGCCTGGATTCTGCCTCTTCATTGAAGTAGGAATTGTTTTTCTTCCCAAATCCCAAACTCTGGAGCTTACTTTGTCTTGCAGGGCAGGTGGGTGCCCTGCTCCTTCCTGCAGTACCCGTAGTACGCGCCCCGCTCGTTCAGGCGGTAACAGGAGGAGGGTCCGTCCGTCGCCTCTGGGAGAGAGGAAAAGGCCCTGGAATGAGTCTGGGAGCTCTGCCTGGCAGAACTGAGGATGTTCCATCTCCTTCACCTGCTCAGGAAATGGCCTTGCCCGCTTAATTTGCTGAATGAGTCTCTGACACTTCAGCCTGGAGAAGGGAAGGCTCCAGAGAAAGAGAAGGGTCTCTCTTTCTTTCTCTCTTTCCTTCTCTTTCTCTCTCTCTTTCTCTCTCTTTTCCTCTCTTCCTCTCTTTCCCTCTTTCCATCTCCCTTTCTCTCTCTTTCTCCCTTTCCCTCTTTCTCTCTTTCTCTTTCTCTCTCTCTTTCTTTCTCTCTCTCTTTCTCTTTCTTTCTCTCTCTTTCTCTCTTTATCACTCTCTTTCTTTCTTTCTTTCTCTCTTTCTCTCTTTCTTTCTTTCTCTCTTTATCACTCTCTCTCTTTCTTTCTCTCTTTCTCTCTCTCTTTCTCTCTTTCTCTCTTTCCTTCACTCTTTCTTTGTCTCTCTTTTACT